AAAGAAAGAAAGAAAGAAAGAAAGAAAGAAAGAAAGAAAGAAAGAAAAGGGGAAGGAGGAAGGAAGGAATAAGGAAGGGAGGGTGGGCAGGAGGGAGAGAGAAAGGAAAGAAGGAAGGAAAGAGAAAAGAAGAGGCAGAGATGCAGGCAGAGAAGAAAAAGGAGAAGAAGCAAGGAAGAAAGGGAGGGAGGGGAGAGAAGGAGAAGGATGAGGAGAAGAGAAGGGAAATGGAAACAGAGGAAGAAAAAGAAAAGGAGAATGAAGGAAAGAGGGGAGGAAGAGGAGGAGGAGAAGACCCAGGCATATTCAGCATCAAAATCTTCACAACCCTCCTGGGCCCTAATACAGAGGAACTGCCTGCTTCTGTTTGAGTTTCAAGGAACAAAGTGAGGTGCCTTTCCACAAAATTCCATTACAGATAGTCCTTGACTTACAACAGTTCACTCAGTGACTATTCAAAGTTACGACGACACTGAAAAAAAAAGTGACTTCTCCAGATTGTTTTTTCACAAGCAGCACCCTGATGGTTGCATGATTTAAAATTTGGATGCTTGGCAACTGTACTTAGGACGGTTGCAACGTGATCCTCTCTTGCGACCTTCTGACAAGGAAACGCAACGGTGGGAAGCCAGATTCACTTAACAACCGGATTACTAACTGAACAACTGCAGTGATTCGCTTAACAACGGTGGCAGGAAGGGCCGTGACATGGGGCAAAACTCAACTTTAACGAAGGTCTAACTTAGCAACGGGAATGTTGGGCTCCATTGAGAAAGCAGCAAGCTTCCGCTTTTTATTCGGTGAAAAGGGCGGGAATCTTCCGTCGGTTTTCACCAGCCTGTGCCAATATCCCATAAACCTATTCTGTGAGGAAACTGCCAAATTCAGAGGAAAGCCACCTTGTGGCCTAAGAGCGGCCCTTAGAAAAAGGAAGTAGCCCTGCCAGGTGTCGCAAACCACGGAAGGAAACTCCTGTTAGTGGAAGCTGGTCGTAACCAGGGATCATTTTCGACATAGCAACGAATCACAGGATGAATCTGCTACTCGGACAGCCGCCTTGCTGGCACTTGGAAGAGAATCTGGGTGGCCTCCTCTAGAGGGACTTTTTGGCCGGCTGTTTTGGCTTACAACTGACGTTGCGCCCCACAACCGGAAGATACTCGCGATGAGACTTCTTTCTCAAGCAGCACCGTTTACTCGGCGGTGCAGACCACGGTGTTGGTGGAAAATTTGGTTATGGCTCTGGCCCGCAGTCTATATGGCTAACCTTCACTGAAAGTCACTGAACCAAACGAACACTCCACGTGTGCAAATACACAACCCACAGAAGTAGAATACAGGTAGTTCTTGACTTACGGCAGTTCGTTTAGTGACCGTTCCAACGGCACAAAATAAAAGGGACTTGGGACCGTTTTTTTCCCACCGTTACCACCGTGGCAGCCTCCCCGTGGCCACGGGATCCAAATTCAGGCGCTTGGTTCATATTTATGACGGTTTTCCCGGAGTCCTGTGGTCCGTTTTGGTGACCTTCTGGGAAGCAAAGTCAAATGGGGGATCCAGATTCCACTCAACAAGCGTGTTACTAACTTAGCTCAAAGTCCAGATGCTTGATAGCTGACTCACATTTATGACGGTTGCTGCAGTGTCCCGACCTTCTGGCGAGCGAAGTCCAAGGGACAGCCAGCTTCACTTAACAACAATTTAACCACGGCAGTGATTCGCTTAACAGATGTGGCAAGGAAAATCGTAAAATGGGACAAAACTCAACAAATTTCTCACTTAGCGACATGAATTTTGGGACCACCTGGATTTGTAGCTCAGGGCTGAACCGTGGAGTCCTCGGTGTTCTCTGAGCTTGGTGGTTTCCTTGCAGACATTTCATAACCCAGCTAGGTAACATCATCAGTGCTAAAAGTGAATGGGGTTTGGTCTTTTTTTTTATATACGTGGCACGTTGATGGGAGCGTTATTGATTAGGCTGTTGCTTACTTATTCACTCAGACAGACAACCTAACAGCAAACAACAGCTGAATCAAGAAAAACCAAGATCACACCGACCAACACTGACAGAGCAAGCCACTTGTGTATAAACCCCACTCCTTCTAGCACTGATGCTGTTACCTAGTTGGGTCATGAGGTGTCTGCAAGCAAACAACCAAGCTCAGAGCGCAACAAGGACCCCACGAAATATTAAATCAACCCTGAGGAGACATGGGATGGAAGACCAAGATCAAAACGCTTGGAGATGCAAGATTCCTCCTTGGCCAGAAAAATATCTGTCCTCTCCTTTTGCTTCACCCAGCCCACCATCCTTAAAATGTATGTATTTATTTGTTCAATTTATAAAGCTGCCCATCTCACAGACATATTTGGGCAGCACCTTTCAGGATTCCTAGCCAGCGTGTGCCTTTGCCATCCCAGCTGAACGGAAAAGCACCAGGTTTATTGAATTATTTTCTTATTGAATATTTTTTTGCTGCTAGACTCCAAATGATGGTGGACATCCAATGACCAGATGGGGATGTCTATTCCTTCAATAACTTTTGGCCCGAAGAAGTCAAGACGTGCAGCCACCTCTTGCTAAGAGCTATCCAAAAGTTGGCTTTGGTTGTGGTGGGTTAACTGTGCTTGGATTCAAAAAAAAAAAGTGCTTCAGGCTTCATGGGATGGGATGGTAAATGTAACATCAGTTCCAACCCTTTAAATCAGCTGCTTCTTTTCCTAGGTTAGTTGCTGCCCTAAGCAAGGAATAGATGCAGCTGCTTTCAAGCGCAGGAGACAAAATAACAGAATAACAAGAATTTGGAAAGGTCTTCTAGTCCAACCCATTCAAACCCCAAAACCATTTCAGAACAAATGGTTATCCAATCGCTTTTTTAAAAATCTCCAGTGTTGAAGCACTCACAAGTTTTGGAGGCAAGTTCTTTCACTGCTTAATTATTCTGTCAGGAAATTTAATTCTAGATTGCTTCTCTCCTTGTTTAGTTTCCACACGTTGCTTCCTGTTCTGCCGTCAAGTGTTTTGGAAAATACTCTTCTTTGTGGCAGCCCCTCAAATATTGGAAGGCTAACTATCATTGTAGTCCTTCATTTAATTAAGCTAGACATATTCAAATCCTGCAATCATTCATGTTTTTGCTTCCGGTCCCCTAATGACAGATGCTATATTTGCATTCCAGCCCATCTTAAAACCCTTCTTGAAGACTGAATCCAAGCACTGCATAGCCCTGCCACCTAAAACACTTGTGTAGCACGCACCAAAAGGTTTGTAAAGCTCCTATGAGGGTGAGGGATGCCACTATACCCTGCACATGGGCGTTCACATGATACAAAGGCTAAGTGCCTATAAAAACTAAGAGCCATGGTGGCGCAGTGGTTAGAATGCAGCATTGTAGGCTAATTCTGCCCACTGCCAGGAGTTCGATCCTGACTGGCTCATGGTTGATTCAGCCTTCCCATCTCTCCGAGGTGGGTAAAATGAGGACCCAGATTGTTGGGGGGCAACAGGCTGACTCTGTAAACCGCTTCAAGAGGGCTGTACAGCACTGTGAAGCGGTAGATAAGTTTAAGTGCTATTGCTATAGGGACAGGAATGGTTTTGCAAAGATTGGTGAAGGGGGGGGGGACATTCTGTTTTTCTCCCCAGGTTTTTTTTTTTTGTAAATTTCATCATATATATTTATTTTTATATGATCCAAAGGTCCCAGCATTGGCTGGTGTACATTTATTCATTTAGATCCTGCCCAACACGGATGGTCTGAAAAAAGGGGAAAAAAGGAGGGCGATTTGAAAACTAGATAAAATCAAAAAGAGGTATTATAGAAAGATGGTTGATTTGCCAGAACAAGCTGTCCTGAAGGGAAGTGGTTTGTCGTGTCCCAATTGGAATGCTTGGGTAAATCCTCAGTTAACAACCGCCCGTTCAGGGACCATTTGGAATCACAACAGCACTGAACGAGGGTCTCCATGGTTTCATAAACGTGAATCGAAGCCCTTGGCAACCGGCGCGTAATTATGACATCACAGCACCTTGCAAAAGTCAGTGGGGAAGCTGGCGGGAAATTGGAAATGGTGATCAGGTAACCGTGGCACACTGTGACTACCTGGGATTCACTTAACAACGGCAACTGAAGTGGTTGTTGTAAGACCGTACACTGGCATGGCATCATCCTTTCATAATTGTGTTTGTTTAGTAACAGAGTTGCCAGTCCCAATTACAGGCAGTCCTCGACTTACAACAGTTCATTGAGTGACCATTCAAAGTTACAACGGCGCTGAAAAAGATAACTCATGACCGTTTTTCACACTTACGACCATTGCAGCATCCCCCTGGTCATGTGTCATGCCCTTGTTGGAGTCTGATTCTGAGGGTGAGATTGAGCAGCTGACAGGGAGTAGGAGTGTGGCTCCGGTGGCTGTGGAAGAAACGGGGGAGGGGCACAGTCCGGCTGGGCATTCAGAGGAAGACCCAGGGCCAACACCCTCTTCATCCTAGGGCATGCAGGGAGGAATGGAGAAGGGAGCAAAGTGGCTTATGTGGGAGAAAAGGGCCCTGATCCCTTTCATTAGTTGCAACTGGGAGAACAGGATATAAGAAGGGCGTTTGCACACGGCACCTTGCTGGAAGCAAAGCGTGCATTATCTTGGTCGAGGCTTATCTGGGTTTTGGCGTCCTCCCAACTGTGGTTACTGTGTTATCCTTTGAAAGTCTGCAATTTATCATCCTGGCCTGCTATGTTAATTACTTCAGCGTGGTTTGTGTTGGTTTTTTTTATTTCTAATTTATTTGTACTTTGGGTTCGGACTGAATTTCTTCCCTTTGTAGACTGTTTTTGGAAGAGTTTGAGCTCCAGATGAGGATAACTGGACACTGAGGGCCAAGTTGGAGATATTAAAGGGAATTTATCTAGTTTTGTGACTTTGTTATTTTTGTGCCATGCCCTGGGTCATCACATCACGTGATTGAAATCTGGATTCTTAAACAACTGGTTCATATTTATGACAGTTGAGGCCTCCTGAGGTCCCATGATCAGCTTCTGACAGTCTTTCACACTTAATGACCATCATGTGATCAAAATTCAGATAGTTGGCAACTGACTCATACTTATGACCGTTGTTGTATCCCAAGGTCATGTGATTCCCCTTTTGGGACCTTCTGACAAGCCAATGGGGAAGCCAGATTCACTTAATAACCGTGTTAGTAACTTATTAACTGCAATGACTCGCTTAACAATGGCGGCAAGTACGGTCGTAAAATGGGGCAAAGCTCATTTAACAAATGTGCTCACTTGACAAGAGAAATTTTGGGCTCAATTGTGGTTGTAAGTCGAGGACTATCTGTAGTTAACTGAGGATTAACTGCATTTTATAGTCTAGCTGTGGTTTTGCGTGGAGAAAAATTATTCAGTTTTTTCCAGCTCAAAAATATAAGACTCCTGCCACTTTGTGACTTGCAGGTAAATGTCTTGGGGAGCTCAACTTAATGTTTCCGGAAAAAAAATAGCAGAGAGCTAGCCTTTTTGAGATATGCCAGCCAGCCTTTTTTCTAGAAATTCCTATGTCAACATTTTGAAATTGGACAATGAGTGCGATCAACAACGGTCCGTGTGAAAGGCAGATCCAACTGAAGATGGGTTATTTAAATGCTCTCTTTGCTAATTTGGCATATTTGGAATAAATTATGAGGACTGAAAGTTTTATTCTCATTTGAAAGTCACACGTTCTCAAACTTTGCAAAGCAGTTCGTTTGTTGTTGTTGCTTTTAAAGGGAGAAGACTACACAATTACAACGGCATTCCTGAAATAATGTACAAAGACGCACTTGCCATAATTGCAACAACAGAGGATGCTAGGAAAAATACAAAAAGTTTATGCTCGAAGAAATGTGCACGCAAGTGCATACCAATTTTAGTGCAAACTCGAAGGGGAGGGGAAAAAATCTCAGCGTTAAAGAACCGGACAGGTTTACACAAAAATGAAAAAATATAGCGAAATGGCCAAATGTGTAAATTCACCCGTCCCTGGCTTTGAATTAAAAAGCTGGGCATTAATTGAGGGGAAGGATCAAGGACATTGCATTAATGTAATATACATCTCAGCAACTTATAACAAACTCCACAATCCCACACCACTGCGTTTCCAAACACTATAGCAGTGGGGGTGTCCAAATTCAGCAATTTTAAGACCTGTGGACTTCAACTCCTAGAATTCCTCGCTCAGCCATGTTGGCTGAGGGATTCTGGGAGTTGAAGTCCAGCCATGCTGGCTGAGGGATTCTGGGAGTTGAAGTCCAGAGATATTAAAATAACTAAGGTTGGACACCTCTGCACTACGGGAAAATAAAATGACAGATTAATTAATTCATTCATTAGATTGATTTAGCATATCTTTCTCCATGGGATATTTTTAAGGGCCTTTTTTTCCTCACAAATACCTGCTTTTCAAAGCAGAACTAAAAAACAAATAAACAAATAAAGAGTTTCACGGAAGGGCCCGAATTTTTCCACAATTAAACCTCCCTCTTTAAGAAAACTTCTCCAAATATCTCCTTGCCAAAAAGTTCCTTGCTCCAATATTAGTTTTTCCTAAACTTTTCATTTTTTTCCCCCAAAGTTTTTTGTTATCCAAATTACAGGCAGGGGCCCATCAGCCTCTTGGTTTTATCTCTGGTTGGACCATAAATACAAACAAAACAAAAATTCAAAATCAGGATATTTCATCATCATCACCAACCCAACTCCCCCACACCCCTCAACAGTTCATTGTCAAACAATCTCAGATACTTTTTTTTTTTAAATGCCTTTCCTATCAAAATTATAAAAAGTAAGCTGGGTTTGCAGCCACAACCACAATATTTGTTTCCGTCCGCGGGACTTCCAAACACGCTCCGTTTTGCTAAGCACATGACTGCTACTAGGAAAGCAATCCACAAAAAAAGAGAAGGGAAAAAACAAAACAAAAAACCCCAAACTGCTTAACTTGGTTTCCCTATTGCACTTCGCTCGTTCCTGCAGTGTCTCTTTTGAAGAAACCGCCACGCGCCCCTGCCTTTCGCTGTGGTACCCATCCGATCCATGGACGTGGTCCAAGCCCACGCGGGCGGGCATTAATGTACAATCCAGGTGGGGGGTTCCGGGTGGAAGAATCACGCCAGAAGGTCGAGTCCGTCTCCGAAAATAAAACCCAATGTTTGTTTCCGTGCCTTAAAGTGGTTTGTCACTTTTTTTTTTTTTTAGAAAAAAGAAAAAGGAAGGAAGGAGAGGAATGGGAGGAAGGGCTCAGCCAATGAAGGAGCGTCCTGCTCACCTACCACCCTGTAAACTAATCTTTAAAGTGGGTTTTATTTTATTTTTATTTTTTTTCCTGACCCCTCGGCTTATTTTTCTGGCATTTTACTAGCCCCGAATTTGGGGGCGTGGAAGGGTTTGTTACCTCTCTCTTTTTCATCCAGGATGCAGTTTGCCACCGGCCACGGCGACGTGGCTTTCTTGTGGTTAATATTTCCCAGAAGGCTCTCTGTGTCTTTAGGGAAAAATTCGGAGGGCCTTTCCTTCGGCTTCCGGCCTCGTTTCTTGCCGTCGGGGCTAGTCTTTTGTTCTTCGTTGCTGGGTGTCCTCGGTTCTTTACTTTTCTTTTTCTTCGAAGAATCGGTTGAGGTGTGGAACCAGTTCTGCGTTTCAGGGGAGCAAAAGGAAGCAAAGATAGGTTGGGTGGGTCATCTGTATTCGCACAAAGCTGGCTTAAATTGTGTTTGCACCATTCAGGTAATCGTCGACTTACAATAGGTTAACTGACTATCTGAAGTTCTAACGGCACTGAAAAATAAGTGACTTAGGACCGTTTTTCACGCTTATGACCATTGCACCAACTCCATGGTCACACAATTCACACATTCAGATCAGAGGTTGTGAATTCAGCAGGTTCTAACCAGTTCTGGAGAACCAGTAGCAGAAATTTGGAGTAGTTTGGAGAACCGGCCAATCCCACCTCTGACTGGCCCCGCCCCCATCTATTCTCCGCCTCCCAAGTCCCAGCTGATTGGCTGGGTCTTCTTTGGTTGCCCTGCACAGGAGAACGGAGCTGGAAAGCAGGTTAGCGGGGTGGGGAGGGAATGAGGATTTTGCAGTATCCTTCCCCTGCCACGCCCACTAAGCCATGCCCACAGAACCAATAGTAAAAATTTTTTGAATCCCACCATTGATTCAGATGCTTGACAACTGACTCACATTTATGACGGTTGCAGTGTCTTGGGGTCATGTGACCCACAACTACCCTGTGAGGTGGGTTGAGCTAAGAGGGAGGGACTTGCCCAAAGTCACGCAGCTGGCTTTCATGCCTAATGCAGAACTAGAACTCACCATCTCCTAGGGATTGGTCTAAATTTACCCAGCTGCCTTTCCTGACTAATATGGGGCTAGAACTCACCGTCTCCTGGTGATTGATCCAAAGTCACCCAGCTGCCATTCATGCCTAATGCAGTACTAGAACTCACTGTCTCCTGGTGATAGGTCCAAAGTCACCCAGCTGCCATTCATGCCTAATGCAGTACTAGAACTCACCGTCTCCTGCTTTCTAGGCTGGTGCTTTAACCTCTAGAAGTAACTTTGCAGCAACAAGTACCGTATTTTTCGGTGTATAAGATGCACTCCCCTCCCCCCACCCCCCAAAATGTGGGTGGAAATGTTTGTGTGTCTTATACAGCGAATACGGGCCCATTTCTGGCCTCTCAAAGCCTCTGAATGTCCTGCTTTCGCCCTCCCCAGCATCTAGAAGCACTCTGCAGGCCAAAAACATGCCCGTTTTGGGCCTCTGGAGGCCTGCAGGAGTGCTGCAGGGTGCTTTTAGACGCTGGGGAGGGCAAAGACAGGACGCGCGAAGGCAAAAATCTATTTTTTTCTTGTTTTCGTCCTCTAAACCAAGGTGCATCTTATAGTCCGGTGCGTCTTATACTCTGAAAAATACAGTAACTCCCGAAAAGAAGCCACTTACCTCTGAGTGTGTCTTGATGATGTGGTATTTGACCCCACTTTCTGAGCTAAACTCCTTCTGACACAGAAGACAACGATATTTGCCCACCGAATGACCTCCCTGTAAACCAAAGACCAGCCATGTTAGTTTTGGAAGAATCTGACCAGAACTAAAGAGATATTTTCTGACATGGAGAACAATTAATCGATGGAACAACTTGCCTCCAGAAGTTATGAATGCTCCAACACGGGAAGTTTTTAAGAAGAGAATGGACAACCATTTGTCTGAAATGGTATAAAGTCGTGATGGCGAACCTATGGCATGCATGCCACAGGTGGCACGCAGAACCATTTGTGCTGGCATGTGAGCTGCAGGCAAACTTACCTCACGGTGTGCCTCACAGCTGATTTTCGGCCGGTTTGAGGCCTTTTTCAGCCTCCCGAAGGCTTGAGGAAGGTTTCTGCAGGCTTTGCAGCCTGAAAAATAGGCCCGTTTCATCACTTCCGGTATTACAGGAAGTCACGAAACAGGCCTATTTTTCGGCCTGCAAAGCCTGCAGAAGCCTTCCTCAAGCCTCTGGGAGGCCGAAAAAGGTCTCAAACTGGCTGAAAATCAGCTGTGAGGTGCAGGTAAGGGGGTGGTGGGGTGGGGATTGCACACGCATGTGTAGGGGGCATGGGGGGGGGCACGCATTGCCTTCTGGGTGCTGGCATGCAAGCGCAAGCGTGCAAGCGCATGCACAATTTTTGCAAAGGAGCCCAAAAGGTTTAGCCACTACTGGTATACAGGCTTTCCTACCTAAGCAGGGGGTTGGTCTAGAAGACCTCCAAGGTCCCTTCCCTTATTTTATTATTCTGTTTTTCCCTTTATGATCACTGTGTCGGATTACCAGTTCAGGCTGCAGATAAGGGAGCCATGCAATTTCTTATTCCTCTACGCATTCATAAAAGAAAGCCAGAAGTCAGAGATGAAGTACTCCACTTACAACCGGTTGCTCAGTGAGTTGCTAACTTTGGTTATTACAACCCCCCTACCCCCCAATGTACAGGTAGTCCTCGACTTACAATAGTTCGCTTAGAGACCGTTCAGTTACAATGACACTGAAAAAAGTGGCTTATGACAGTTTTTCACCTTTACAATGATTGCAGCCTCCCCATGATTACGTAATCCAAATTTGGGCGCTTGTGAACTGACTCATAGTTATGATGGTTGGAATGTCGCCGGGGTGGGGGCACGTGATCCCCTTTTGCAACCTTCTGACAAGCAATCGTGTTACTGATTTAACAACTGCAGTGATTCGGTGTAACCAGAAAGGTCATAAAATGGAGCAAAATTCACTTAACAAATGTTTCACTTAGCAACAAAAATTTGGAGCTTAGTCGGGGTTGTAAGTCGAGGACCACCTATACTTACAACCTGGATTTGAATTTCTTTCTTTTTTAATAAGTTTTACTTATACATTTTTCTTTAACATACGAGTGCTTAATAAACAGCGTAATGTCTGTTTATACAGTACCTTTACATAATGTCAAGAATAGTAACAACAATATTTACTTGTATACTGTGTTTCCCTAAAAGAAGACCAGGTCTTATATTAATTTTTTTTGCTCCAAAAGATTCATTAGGGCTTAATTTCTGGTTAGATCTTATTTTCAGGGAAATGCCGTTCTAAATGCATCCATCTGGCTGACAATCCTAACTGGGGCTTATTTTCAGGGTAGGTCTTACGTTACAAACATCCTGAAAAATCATGCTAGGGCTTATTTTCCAGTTGGGTCTTATTTTCAGGGAAACAGGATAGTAGTATTCTTCCAACTTCTAATGTCTACCTCTGCTGCCGAACCATTTGTAAAACAAATCCTATGTTAAATAACATTCTGTATCCTCTTTATCCTTTATCTTTAATGTTAACCTATCTATTTCCACAGAGTCTAATATTTTTTAAAAAATTATGCTTTCCTCTGTAGGAGTTCCCACATTTTTCCAATATTATGCAAACACAATTCTTGCTGCTGTCAACACATGTGTCATGCCCCTAGTGGAGTCTGACTCTGAGGGAGAGGAGGAACAGCCGACAGGGAGTGGAAGTGTGGCTCTGGAGGTTGTGGAGGAGGCTGGGGAAGGGCAGAGGCCGGCTGGACAGTCAGAGGAGGACCCAAGCCCATCCCCTCTCCATCCTAGGGCACGCAGGGAGGAGAGGATAAGGGAGAGATGTGGTCTACTTGGGAGGAGGGGGCCTTGATCCTCTTCATGAGCTGCAGCTGTGACAACTGAATAAGGTCGGACATGCATACGGGCAAACGCTGGAAATAAAACGTGGAAATATCTCTAGTTTATGGTTCCTCTCTAAGTTTGGCGTCCTTCCCAGTGTGTGTTACCTGTGGACGTCCTCCAGCCCTTTTCTTGCCTGGTTTGTCTTGCTTTTTTCCTTCTTCTTGTAACTGTTTGTATGGGAGTTTTTTGTCTTCCGTCAAGCATATTTGGAGTTTGGAAGTGAAGGAATAAAAGGGGCTTCACGTGTTTTCTGTGACTGTGTTTGTTCTGTATCCCACCCTGTGTCATCACAACATGTAATATTAAATATACAGCCCCTTTGTCATATTTTTCCGGTACTGTACCTAACAAAAATATTTCCAGCTTTATGTCTATATATTGCTTCATCATTTTCTCTAACCAAACATGTATTTTCATCCAATTTTTTTTTTTTTTTGCCTTTGGGCATGTCCGCCATATGGTGGTACGCGCCCGGCAGTGGTGTGTTTCCAAATTGTTTCCTACTGATTCTAATGCGCGGTTCTATGCATGCGTGCTTCAAGCTGTTTTTTTCTTTTAGCTCAGCTGAGGCACAGCACTCCGCTCTTCCACGCGAATCCGCTGAGCTAAAAAACAAGGGAATATAGGAGAGGTAATGGCGGGGGGCGGATGGATATCAGAGGTGATATTTGCCGATTCTTTGAACTAGTCAAAATTTCCGCTACTTGTACACCAGAACCGTTCCAAACCGGATGAATACCACCTCTGGCTCCCGGTATCAGATTGCATTTCCAACATATGGCTGACATCATGGATTTGAATTTCTGATAGGTGCCCCTCCACATGCTCACCTGATTACATTTTGGGTGCTTGGAAACCAGTCTTGCATTTATGGCTACGTTCAGCGTGCCGCAATTCCATGAACTGGGATTTATAATGGATTTTTGCCGGAAACCGACATTTTGGGAGGCTCTGGAGGCCATGTGACGGTACAGTCCTCCCAGGTGACTTCCGACAGTCCAAAGGCCACATGAGGGATACCCCATTCTTAGTTCAGCCTGCGCAAATCGTGTGAGAAGGGGGCATCTTTTTTGAGGAAGAGCCGTGGCATTGGTGAACACTGGCGCTACCCCAAATGGGATGGCCTGTAACCTTTTGTCCATACCTGGCCTAGAGTCCCCAGAGGATTGGGCAGGCCGACCTTTGCATGCCAACAAAGAAATCAACAATTCAAGAGAGAGAGAGAGAGAGAGAGAGAGAGAGAGATTGACTGTGATGCTCCTTTACCTTGTTACAGTTGGCCAGATGGGCTTTTAGGCCGGACACGCTGCAGTAAATGGCTGCACAGCACTGGAAGGGAAAAGAGAGAGGCTGAGTGAGGAACTGGAGAACTTACACCTCCCCACCCCCCAAAAAAAGCATCCCTCCTACAGGCTGCAGCCAACCTTCCCCAAAGCTACCGATAAAGCAAAATATTTGTAGCTTGGGGTTGAAATGAGGGGTCCTTGGTGCTCTGAGTTTGGTGGTTTTCCTGCAGATGTTTAATTACCCAAGTAGGTAAACAGCAGGGGTGGGCTTCAAAAATTTTAGTAGAGGGCTCTCTGCCCAGGTGCTGGGTGGACATGGCCATGGCGGGTGTGGCCTAGTTGGCTGCCTTGCACCACGGTGGGGAGGGGCGTTTTTCGCCCCTCCCCGGGCTCCAGGAGCTTTTTTCGAGCCTCCAGGAAGGCAAAAACAGCCTCCCCGGGTGCCGGAAGTTTCCTGAACTTCCGGGATGCCTATTTTTCTCCCTCTCCGAGCCTCCAGGCAGGCCCTGTACTCACTTGGCATCCGTAACGGGCCACATGGGAACGCCAGGAAGGGGCGGTGTGGGGTGGGCGTGGCCAGACAGGGGTGGGATTTGCGGGGTTCGCCAAACGGTGCAGAACCTTAGCTAGAGGATCGCCCAAAAAACGTGAGAACCTGCAGCAACCCCTGGGTGATAGCATTGGTGCTAGAAGGGAGTGAGGTTTGCGAAGAGGAGGAGGAGGAGGAGGAGGAGGAGGAGGAGGAGAAGGAGGAGGAGGAGCCGCCAGAGGGGTGTCATTACCAAACTGTGTATCATCATTAGTGCTAGAAGAGAGCGGGGTTACAGAGTGGAGGATTATGGATCCTCTCTTGAGCTTGATGGTTTTCCTGCAGATGTTTTATAACCCAACTAGGTTAATATGTCAGTGCTAGAAGGAGTGAGATTTGCAGAAAGGAGGAGGAGGAGCAGGAGGAGTCTGTGGAGTTTCATTACCAAACTATGTAACATCCACCATCAGTGCTAGAAAAGAGGTGGAGTTGTGAGGGGGTGGAAGGGACGACTGCGAGGTCCTTGGTGCTCTCTGAGCTTGGCGGTTTTCCTGCAGATGTTTCATGATCCAAACAGGGTACAAGTCAACTTATACCATTTGTTTAGTGATTGTTTGAAGTTACAAAAGCACTGAAAAAAGTGACTTATGACTGTTTTTCACACTGATGACCGTTTCAGCATGCTGCAAAATTCAGACCCTTGGCAACTGACTCATATTTATGTCCATTGCAGTGACCCAGGGACAAGGGATCCCTGTCATGCCTTTGTTAGAATCTGACTTCGGAGGATAGGAGGAACAGCTGATAGGGAGTGGGAAGATGGCTCTGGAGGTTGTGGAAGAAACTGGGGAAGGGCAGAGGGCGGCTGGGCAGTCAAAGGAAGACCCAGGCCCATCCCCTCTTCATCCTAGGGCACGCAGGGAGGAGCGGATAAGGGAGAAACGTGAATGGTGTGGTCTACGGGGGAGGAAAGGGCCCTGATCCCCTTCCTGGGCTGCAGCTGGGAGGACTGTTTAAAAGGACAAACTGCACATGGGCCAGTGCTGGAAGCAAAGTGTGACCATATTTCTAGTCTGTCAGTTCTTATCTGAGTTCTAGCATCCCTTCCCAGTGCGTGTATTTCGATATCTGTGGACGTTTTCAAGCCTTTATCCTGCTTTGTCTCATTAATTGCTTCAGTGTGGTTTGTGTTGTTTTTTTCCTATTTATAATTTATATGTATTTTGAGTTTGAAGGGAAAGTCTTCCTTTTCACAACTGTTTGTGAGGGAGTTTTTTTCTCCAGTCAATGATAATTGGACCTTGGAGGCCAAGTTGAAGAAATTAAAGGGACGTCACCTGTTTTTGTGACTTTGTTGCTTTTGTATTCCACCCTGGCTCACCACAATCCCTTTTTGTGACCTCCCGACAAGCAAAGTCAATGGGGAAGCCAGAGTCACTTAACAATTGTGTGACTAGCTGAACAACTGCAGTGATTCACTTAACGGCGGCAAGAAAAGTCATAAAATGGGGCAAAACCCACTTAACAACTGTCTCGCTTAGCAACATTTGAGGCTCGACTGTAGTCGAGGACTCCCTAGGTAGCCAGGCCTATGTTTGGGGCTCAAAATCTTCTTCAAATCCAAAGGAAAATAGAAACGAGGTCTTCTGGCCGTAAAGCACAAACCACTCACGTCATTTGGGCAATTGATGTGTCCTTTTTCTTTGACTTCATTCTTCCAGGCCTCCAGAAGCCGCGGGTTCAACTTGGGAAGTCCAGGCCGAGTGTAGTTTAGCTGCCAACATTCAGCAGTCACAACAGTCAGAATGCTATTCACATGTGCACCGTAAACACACGGCTAAATGACTCCTGGATTTCTTACCCGCAACCCCAGCCAGCCTCTCCAAGAGGTTCAACAGGGAGAGAGCATTGAAGATTAAGAGAACCTATACCAGCGGTGGCTGAAAATTGCATGCGCACCAGCACCCAGAAAGCTATGCACACTGCCCCCCCCCCCCACCCCCCCTTTGCATGCATGCGCGATCCCCCCTGCCTCCCCCTTACCAGCACTGAACATGCGCGCACACCTCCCAGCTGATTTTCAGGCCTTTTTCGGCCTCCCAGCGGGTGGAGGGAAGCCTCTGCAGCTTTGGGAGGCCGAAAAATGAGCCCATTTCATCACTTCCGGTATTTCCGGAAATACAGGAAGTGACAAAACAGGCCTGTTTTCTGGCCTCCCAAGGCTGAAGAGGCTTCCCTCCAGCCTCTGGGAGTTCGAAAAAGGCCTGAAAACCAGCTGAGAGACGCACGCATGCGCAGTGAGGTAAGTTTGCCTGGGGCTCGCGGGTCCACACAAATGGCTCTACGTGCCACCTGTGCCACACTTGCCATAGGTTTGCCGTCACGGAACCTATACTGTCATTTTTTTTTACTGTGGGCACACCGGCACACATTAAAAAATGAAACTGTTGCCTGGATGGATAGACAAATACCTAGTGCACACACACACACACGGATGGTCATGCATCTAGCACGTTGCTCTGAGTTCAACAAAAGCACAGTGTTCAAGATACAGGATCAGGACCAGAGAGAGTCGAGTTCAAAACCATCCCTATGGAAAATCACCCGTCAGGTGGAGGCGCCTCGGGTCAATATTTCTCTCTCAGCCCACCTGACAGGGTCGTTGTGAGGATAAATGAAGAGAAATCCCACGGAAGCCACCTTGGGCTCTTGCAGAAAAGGCAGGATGTAACTCTTCAGCGGGAAATAGAGAGCATGCAACCATCATCCTCAGCCTTCGACACCCCCACCACAAACACCCCAATTCTCTGATTTTCCCCCAGCCCTGCACCCTCCGCCATCTTTGAGAAACTTCCAGCTGCCCCAGTCGCTCACTTGCTTTGTTTCGGGGACCAGATCGTCCTTCATCCGCCGCTTGGTCCAGTCCTTGGCCAGCTCGTCCTCAGCTATTTCCTGCAAGTGGAAGACGGCGACTTGGGCGGAGGTGCGCCGGATGCGGCCGCTGGGAGTCCTCTCGAAATCTTCCACGGGGCTGGGTTCGGGTTGCAGCTCTGGCTGCTCTGGGGGCTGAGGAGAGAAAAGCGGTCTGTGATGAAGGCAGATGCTGGAAGGGAGGAAGAGAAGGGAAAGAGAGGAGGAAGGGAGGGGAAAGAGGCAGGGAGAGAGGAGGAAGAAGAAGAGAGGGAGGGGAGAAGAGAAGGGGAGGAAGAGAAGGAAGGGAAGAAAAGGAACAGGAGAATGAAGAGGGGGAGGGAGAAGGCAAGGGGGAAGTTGAGAATAGGGAAGGAAGGGAGGAAGGGGATGATGCAAAGAGGGAAATGGAGACACAGAAAAGGAGAAGGGAGAATGAATGAAAATGAATGAATGAAAATGAAGGAGGGAGGGAGGAAGGGAAGGAAGTGAAAAGAAGGGAGCAGGGTGGAAGGAAGGATAAAGGAAGGAAGGAAGGAAGGAAGAAAGGAAGTGAAAAGAAGGGAGTAGAGTGGAAGGAAGGATAACGGAAGGAAGGAAGTGAAAAGGGAGCAGGGTGGAAGGAAGGAAGGAAGGAAGGAAGGAAGGAAGGAAGGAAGGAAGGAAGGAAGGAAGGAAGGAAGGAAGGAAGGAAGGAAGAATGGAAGGAAGGAAAAAGAAGGGAGTAGGGTAGAAGGAAGGATAAACGAAGGAAGGAAGGAAGAAGGAAGGAAGGAAGGAAAGAAGGAAGGAAGGAAATGGAGACACAGATAAAGAAAAGGGAGAATGAAGAAGGGAGAAAGAGAAGCAAAGGAGGGAGGGAAGGAGTAAGGAAAAGAGGGATGGATGGATACAATGGAGACAAAAGAGTGAGAGATGAAGATAGAGAGGAGAAGGAAAAGGAGAAGGAAGGGAAGGGAGGAGAAGGAGAAGGAAGAGAAGCAGATGGAAGGGAAGGAGGGATAGGAAGGCAGATGGAGACAGAAAAGGTGAAGGAGAAGAAAAGGGAAGGAGGGAGGAAACAAATTAAGAAATGGTGGCAATTAAGGCCCTTCGGCTGCTTTTTTTACCTCAGAACTTTCAAAGGAAAAGCTGGGAACTTGTAGGCCTTGGTGAAGGGCAGGGTGGCCCAACCCCAGTGACTTCTAACTAGGTGGCCTTCAGTCCTCAGAAGTCTCAAACCCACACATCGGTGGGTTTCCAGATTCAGAAAACTATCCTCACATCCATTGGCTCCCCCCAGCTAACTTTGAACCAGTGTTGCAAACGAATAAGTTACGTTTGCTTGCAAGGCTCTGTGGCGAGGAAAGCAGGAAAGACTGCTAAAGACAGGTAAAAGCAAAAGCTGATGTGTGTGTGTGTGTGTGTGTGTGTGAGAGAGAGAGAGAGAGAGAGAGAGGGAGGGAGAAAGAAAGAAAGAAAGAGGGAAGGAAGGAAGGAAGGAAGGAAGGAAGGAAGGAAGGAAGGAAGGGAAAGAAAGAAAGAAAGAAAGAAAGAAAGAAAGAAAGAAAGAAAGAAAGAAAGAAAGAAAGAAAGAAAGAAAGAAAGAAAGAGAAAGAAGAAAGGAAGGAAGGAAAGAAAGAAGAAAGGAAGGAAGGAAGGAAGGAAGAAAGAAAGAAAAAAGAAAGAAAGAAAGAAAGAAAGAAAGAAAGAAAGAAAGAAAGAAA